AATTGACCTTACCTTCATGACACCCACCAGCCAATCAGGCGTGAGTATGCAAATTAATTAAACAAATATTTTGTTAATTTGCATATGCAGGTGCCGGCTGCAGGGGGGCAGGACCTTGTGTCATAGCATGGTGACGGTGCAGGTGTCCCGCACAGCCCAGCCGCTCTGGGCCTCTGGGCAGCGAAGGCAGTGTCAGCAGCCAGGGAAAGGAAGGCCCGTTCTTGCATGAATCTTCGTTCATTGGGCCTCTAGTACTTCTAATAATCAGTTAAAATGATGGAAAATTGCCAAACCTTTTTAATATTAATAAGAACCATAATATATGTAAAAATTAACATAAAAGTAGAATTTTATGAGGGAAAACTTTATTAAATCACATAAATGAAGACCTAAAGAAGTAAAGAGACATGTCATTTTCATGATGGGGCATTCTAACATAATGAAAAAATCAATTTCCCCCATATCCAAATGACATAACCAAAATGTCCCAACAAAAGCATAGCAGAATTTGGGGAAAAACTGACAAGTTGATTCCAAAATGTCCATGAAAACAAGGACCTTGAGTGTCTTAGACAATTTTGATAAAGAAGAGAATATTAAAAAGCTACAGCAATTAGCCGGGACCGGTTTGGCTCAATGGATAGAGAGTTGGCTTGGGGACTGAAGGGCCCCGGGTTCGATTCCGGTCAAGGGCATGTACCTTGGTTGCGGGCATATCCCCAGTAGGGGGTGTGCAAGAGGCAGCTGATCGATGACTCTCTCTCATTGATGTTTCGAACTCTCTATCTCTCTCCCTTCCACTCTGTACAAAAATCAATAAAATATATATTTTAAAAAAAAGCTACAGCAATTAAAACAATATGATGCTGACAAAGTAACTGAATTATCCATAGGCAAATCCATCCATATAGGGAACCTGGTGTGAAAATCCTTGGAGATAAGTGGAATATTTGGTCATTGGTATTAAAAAGATCAAGTTATTATTTGGAGGGGAAAAAAGTTGTATCCTTACACTGAGTAGAAAGATTCTAGATCAATACAGACCTCAACACGAGAAGAAAGCAATCACACCAATGCCAGCCCGGGGATTCTCATACACAGACAGACAGATGCAAGGCTGAGCTTTTACTCAAAATCACTCGTCTGAAAAAGAGGAACTAGCTTTGTATAGAAGTCCTTAGGGTTTTTCTTTCCAAATTAAGGCCATTTTGTCCCAGCTATTCAGAGAAGATACAGCATCCTAAAATAATCTCAATAAATTCACTAGAAGGATTAGAATAAAGTTGTTTTATAAAGTGTGAGAGTAGAAACAGCAATATGTCTACATTAATATATTACATTAGAAAATGTGACTAACTTTGTGAGTTGGTAATTGAATAAAGGTAGTTTGAATATTTGACTATTTCCTTATAACTTCTATATTCTTAAATTTTCATGTATTAAAATTTGTTCAAAAATCTTTTAAGATATTCTCACTGAGATGCAACTTAAAATGGCAATGAGGTAACACCTCACACCTGTCAGAATGGCTACCATCAACAAATCAACAAATGACAAGTGCTGGCAAGGATGTGGAGGAAAAGAACCCTCACTCACTACTGGTTGGAATGCAGACTGGTGCAGCCACTGTGGAGAACAGTATGGAGTTTCCTCAAAAAATAAAATATGGAACTGCCATTTGGCCCAGGGATCCCATTTCTAGGAATATATCTTAAGAAACCTAAAACATCAATCAGAAAGAATGTATGCATCCCTATGTTCATAGCAGCACAATTTACCATAGCTAAGATCTGGAAACAGCCCAAGTGCCCATCAGTAGTAGATGGTACATTTACAGCATGGAATACTCTGCAGCAGTAAAAAAGAAGGATCTCTTACCCTGTGAGACAGCATGGAGGGATTTGGAGAGTATCGTGCTAAGTAAAATAAGCCAGTCAGAGAAAGACAAGTATCACACGATCTCAGTAATAACTGGAATCTAATGAACAAAATAAACTGATGAACGAAGTGGATCCAGAGACATAGAAGCATGGAACAGACTGCAGAATGTCAGAGGAAAGGCGGGGGGTGGGGGGGAGATCAACCAAAGACCTGTGTGCACATATATATGCATACCCCATGGACACAGACAATGGGGTGGTAAGGCCTGGGATGGGGTTGGGGGCGAGCTAGAAGGGGTCAATGGGGGGGGAAAGAGGGACATCTGTAATACTTTCAACAATGAAAATAAACTTTAAAAAGATAAAAACTGCATTTTCTTGTGAGTTTGTAAGGATTTCTAATATATACTGAGTGACCAGATATGTATGACCACCTCATAAATACTTCGTTGGGCCACCTTTTGCCTTCAATGCTGCAGCGATTCTTCTTGGCATTGACTCCACGAGATGTTGAAAGGTGATTCAAGGAATCTGACACCATGCCTGATGAGTAGCACTGTCCAGTTCTGTGAGGTTTGACGGCTGTGGAACCAGCTGCCTGATGGCCTTTTACCTTCGTCCCACAAATGCTCAATTGGATTGAGACCTGGTGATTGTGGGGCCACCTAAGCAAGGTAAAGTCTCCCTCATGTTCTTGAAGCCACTCCTGCACAATACAAGCACTGTGGCATGGCGTATCGTCTTGTTGGAAGAAGCCATCTCATTGGGATACGCCATCAACATGACAGGATGGACTTGATCAGCAACGATACTTAGGCATGTTGTGCTATTCAGACGTTGTTCCACACGAATTAAAGGGCCCAAATCATGCCAGGAAACATGCCTCAAACCATAACACTGTCCCCACCAGCTTGAAGGGTTGTACTCATGCATGTGGGGTGTGTGCTTTCATGTTGTTTCTGAGAAATTCTCACTCTGCCATCTGCATGATGCAACTGGAAATGTGATTCATCGGACCACATGACTTTTTTCCCAATGCTTGACTGTCCAATCCTTGTGTTCCTGTGCGAATTGGAGACGTTTTATCTTGGTAACTTCAGACAGCAAAGGTGTTCGAACAGGCCTTCGGCTTCCATATCCCATATGATGCAGTGTACGGCTAATATTCCTACAAACATCAGGTGGTCATAATAATCTGGCCACTCAGTGTATTTTATGTAGTAATCTTTTTTATTTTTTAATATAATCTTATGTCAGTATAAATATTGCAATTGCCTTCTTCCATTTGCAGCTCATCAGTTAGCACAGATTCCCTCTTGAATAGATTTAATGTTGGCTTTTAGAAACCTTATGGTTTAAGCTTTTATGATCTTAAGAAGTCCCTGACTGGTGCCAGGGATTGAGCCTTCAACCGAAGTACATGCTCTTGACCCTGGCCAGAATCAAACCCAGACCCTCAATCTGTGGGCCGATGCTCTAATCACTGAGAAAACTGCCAAAGCAGTGATATTTTTTATTAGAAGCGGAACCCAGAGTAGAGAGGGTCTTGAGTGCTTCTCCCCACCCCCCTTTTTTTTTCTGACTCCAATACTGAGTATTTTAAGAAATGGTCTAACAGACCAAAAAAAAGGGGAGGGGGGAGAGATGGTCTAATAGAATATTTGATCAAAAAGTGCTAACCCAAGCCCATTATATTACAACTGAGGAACTTGAGGCCCAGAGAGGGTATGTGGCTTGTCTAAGGTCACACAGCATAACAAAAGCAGCTTCAAGGCTTGACTGCTGGAATTTCCCCATAAGTTGGGAAATAGAAATCAGGAAGGCGTAGATAATGAAAGACAGATGTAGAACGTAAAGTGAAAAGAAAAACATCTCAAAAGGGGAAAATGTAATACTTGAAGACAGGTTCAAAGTAGGCTCAGAAAAGAGAAAGAAGTCACTGATGCTGCTACGACCCCTGAGAGAATCTTTGCCAAGTTTTTGAGTAACTTTTCCACCTGCCAAACACCATCCTAAGCATCTGGCAGACAGTAACGTAGTTAAGCTTCACATCAATCCCATCAGCCCTACTCTCGTCATCACCCCTGAAGAAGGCAAGAAGCAAAGCACATCAAAGCAGTTGCCCCAGGAGTGGTGCTGGCCCGAGCGAGGGCCTACTATGGGCCCAGGCGGCACTTTCAGTTCTACCTGGACCAGCCGGGAGGACAGACTGGTTGGAAGGACACGTGAATTCTGGACCCTTCCAGCCTGCTCAGCTGTCACTTCAGGAGCCTACGTGCACTGTTTTCACAGAACTGACATGACAGTTAGAACAGCGTCTGGCCTGGCCGGAGTGGCGCAGCTGGTTGCACCAGGAGCCTGGTTTCCAGTCAGGGTGCATGCCCAGGTTGTGGGTTGATCCCCAGTAGTGGGCATGCAGACCTCATCAATTCTCATCATTGGTGTTTCTATCCCTCTCTACCTCTTCCTTCCTCTCTCTCTAAAAAAATAAAAATAAAAAAATCACCATCACTGGGTTTGGCTCAGAGGATAGAGCATTGGCCTGTGGACCAAGGGGTCCGGGTTTGATTCCGGTCAAGGGCATGTGCCTCGGTTGCACGCTCCTCCCTGGCCTGGGCCCTGGTCAGGACGCGTGCAGGAGGCAACCAATCGATGTGTTTCTCTCATATCAATGTTTCTCTCCGTCTTTCCCTCTCCCACTCTTTCTAAAAATCAATGGAAAGGTATCTTCAGGTGAGGATTTTTGAAAAAGAGTAGCGTCTGAGGCTTACTTTCCTGCTCCTGCAGCCTGTTTCCGGGCGACGGTGAAGGTGGAAGGGAGTGTGCACTTCTGAAGGCAGTGAAGCGCAAGGACGCCCACAGGCAAAACCCCGGCCTTGTGTGCGCCCAGACCAGGAAGCAGCTCTGCCCTCGCTCCTCACCGTCAGCACACCTGGCGGGGGTGGGAGCATCGCATGGTGCTGGGACCGGCGGAGGCCACTAGGAGCTGAGGTTTCCAATCCCCCCCCCCCCCCCAGCCAAGGTTCAGGTTAAGGCACATTGAACTGGACATGACAACTCACTCAAGTTGAGAATTCCAGAAACGAACACCATGAGTTAAAAAAGGAGCCACACCGACAGAAAGTAACGAGATTTATTGCCTTGAAGTGGAACGATTGTGGTCACGATAGAACGGCCACTGGCTCCCTGGGATGCAGGCCGGGGCAGCACAGCCCCAGCTGAGAAACCTGCACACACATGCACAGACACACGGGCACACGGGCACAGCCCCAGGCCTTCTGCTCTGAGGAGGAGTGGGGCCGGGCAGCCCGTGAGGAAGGGGAGCAGCTCTGCTGGATGGCCAGGGTCAGGCGTCAGTCTCAGATCAGGAAGTCAGTCTGAGGAGAGAAGGATGGGGAAAGCCATCAGGGGGGTCCCCTCCACCCCTCAGCCGGCAGCAGGCCCGGCAGAAGTTGATCTCTCCTTGCCCATCATCTCCCCACCCTTCCTGCAGCTCCCATCACCCCTCTGCCCTCAAAGCCATCCCTGTGACCCCCAAGCCTGTGTGTAACCCGGACCCCAAGCAGGCGATGCCCACGGAGCCGATCCAGCCTCACCACCAAGGGCCCGAGGGCCCCTCTCAGTCCCCTCTCAGTCCCCCTCAGGCCCAGAAGAATCCGGGCACCCCCACCCCGACGTACCGCCGGAGCACGGCCTCCGGAAGCGGATGATGAGGACCACGCCAACGAGGATGCCCAGCACGCCCAGGCCGAAGGCCATGCCGCACAGCACATTCTCGAGCAGGTGTGAGGGCAGCGCGTTGTGGGGCACTGGAGACAGGGGAGCAGGTGGGTCCCAGACCTGGTTAGGGTGCCCCCACCCTGGGGACTATGCGGTGTCTGGGCTGGCGAGGGAGAAACTGAGGCGTGAAAGGGGGAGACCGGACTAAACAAGGCCCGAGCGGAGAAGAAGGCTCGGGGTCTGCCCCTTCTGCCCCCGGAGGCAGGCGGGGAGGAGGCTCTCACCCCAGTAGGCAATCGCTGTGTAGCCGTCAATCTCGTGGGTGACGATGCAGGAGAAGATGTCGGAGGGCGCCGGCGTGACGTTTAGGTAGGAGAAGGCCTGGAAGGTGAGCCCATCCAGGGCTGAGACGAAGGTGGGCCCGGCGCCCTCCAGGGGGGCCAGGTGATGCTGCCAGGCCACCGCCAGCGAGGGGGGGAAGAGGTTGCTGACAAAGCAGACCAGCGTGTTGGGCTTGCCGAACTCCAGGGGCTGCAGCGTGAACACCTCGACCACAGGAAACCCTGGAGGGCGGGCGGGGGGACAGAGGGGACTCTTCAGGGAGCCCAGTGTTTGGAGGGGGCGTGGCACACGGAGGGGCGGGCTTTAGGGGGTCCCGGGGCGCTGGGCTCTGAGGTCTCCTAGGCATGAAGCAGAACTGGACCCAGAGGCAGAGGCAGAGGCACAGCCAGGCCCGGCCACTGCGGCCGCCCTGCTTCCCGCAGCTCCTCCTGTCCAGCCCCCCGTGGCCTCCGACCTCAGCTGCTCCTCAGGGAACGCCAGCAGGGCCCCTCCGTCTATCCTGCTGAGCACATCCCAGCGCCCACGTCCCCTGGCCCCCTGCTCCCGCTGACTTCAATCTGGCACACCCTGGGACGCCCCAACCTAGGCCCCTGTCTCCTGACCCCACAGAGACCGGTGCAGCCCGTGGCTGGTAGAAAACCCAAGGGCCGGGGGAGCCCCAGAGCCCCAAAGGTGGGGGCTGGTGTGAGGGAACAATTCTGGGTATGGATTAATGAGGTTCCGAATGCAGCACCCACCCACCCCCAAAAAACCCTGACCTCTAGACACCGGGATCTTCCCTTCAAGCTGTGGGCCTACTTCCTGGACCAAGGTTTGGCATAACCCTTTGTCAAAGGAAATGGTGGGGTTATCTCTAGTCTGTTGCGCCCAGTCAGCAAATTCGGGCAGGCGAGGCACGCGGGTGTTCTGGGAAAAGTCGAAGGAGAAGAGCTGGTCCTCGTCGTAGGTCTCGGAGAGCCCCACGCCCGGGCTCCAGTCCTGGCAGTACACCGTGTGCTGGAACGTGTGGTTCTGCAGGCCGGCCCGCCACCCTGCAGCTGCTGCGGGAAGACAGGCAGGGCGGGTCAGCCTGGGCACCGGAGCTGGGGGGACCCCTCCAGTGTCTCTTATCTGGGCTCACCCACCCCGGGGGGTGGAAAAGAAATGGCTGGGATCTCTCCCAACTGCCTCTGTCGTCAGAAGGCCAACTGTCCGAGGCCTGGAGGTAACGGCTGCTGTCTAAAGGGTCCCAATGGGGACGGTGCGTGCACTACTGGCGGCTGAAACCCAGCACACGCCCAGCAGGCAGCTGCATCCGCACCAGGGAGACCTTTGTCTAATTCACCAGCCCCCAAAAACGCTTCCCCTCACTCCACCTCCAACCTTTGCAACAACAAGACCAGGGAAGTGACCTCAGACCTGCAAGAAAGAAGCCCTTGTCTGTGAAACTTCTGGCAGAACCCCCCCAGGCATTTTGAGTAAGAGGGGTCTTCCAGATTATTCTTCCATCCTGCCCCATCCTTTCCAGAGAGGGAAATCAAGAAAAACTTTTCCAGAATTGCAAGGTGAGCTGATGGCCCAGTGTGGTGGCTCTTGCGTGGAGCCATGGAAATAGCATTTGCTTCGCTACCACCTCCCACTGTGAACTTGCAGGAGTTACTCAAACTCCGAGCCTCACTTTCGTCATCTGGAAAATGGATATAATAATCTCTGCTTCAGAGGCTCTTACATGAAATGTAATAGTACCCCTGGCAGTTTGCCACCCAGCCCTTGTAGCTTTGTCCCAGTTCTGCTGGTCTCCACTACCCGGCAGTCCTTCCAGCATTTACAGAGCGCGGCTCTCCTCCAGGGCTCTGGGTGGGCACTGAAGCCAAGGGGAGGGGCTGTCCTACCTGGAGGGGCGGCCCCGGAGTGGGGCAGCAGCCACAGGAGGTGCAGCAGCTGCAGCAGCGCAGGTCCAGGGCCGGGGTCCTGCTCAGGACCCATCCTTCACCCACACTGCAGGCAGGGAGCTGCCACCAGCTGCCCAACTCCCTCGCAGACCCTGTTCCGCCAGCTCACATCCAAAAGGGTCCCTGCCCCTTTGGCTAACCAATCACAGGAGGGAAAGCTCTAACATCACCAGTCGCCGGGGAGAGAGGCCTGGAGCCAGCAACCTCCGGAAGAGGGCTTCCCAGGCCAGAGCCAGAGCGGGGTGTGACTGGGCGGGGTAAGTGAGCAGGGAAGCCTGCCTCCTGGTGGGGGCCCCTCCGCGCCTGCTCAGCCTCAGCCAGGAGTCTCACCCAGCCAGCGCCCCGGGATGAAGCTCCTCTTCCCGCAGCAAACCCCTGGCCCTCCGCGCTCCCCTCCCATCACTAGCTCCGGTGCGTTCTGGAGCCAGAAAATACAAGGGCGAGTAAGACGTGTTCCTGCTTTCAAAGGGCTTAAAGTCTAGTGGGGGGAGAAGGCCAATGAATACACACCCAACACTGTAACGTGTTTAATTAAAACGTGCCCCGTGGTTCTGGAAGTAGTCATTGTATGAAGGTGAAGGAACAGGTGAGACACCTTGGGACGGCTTCTAAGACTCATGAAGAAAAACGGTTTGACAACAGGACGTGAGTGAAGAGAAGAGCGTTCCAGGGCAAGGGGTGGGCACGCGTGTGAAGTCAGAGGCCCAGAGCTCCTTCCCGTGCCGCCCCGTGAAGCTGGGGTGGGTGTGTGGACCCTGCTCACGAGTCCCTGTCCGGTCATGCAGGCTGAGGCGTGTTCACGTGGAGCTGGAAACGTGGGCAAGAACAGATCACAGAGCCCGATTATGCCACAAGGAGGGCCCAGCTTCTGCTCGGCAGATGATGAGACAGTAAAACTGACGCGTGCACCATCATTTCCACCTTCACAAAGAGCTGTCCCGCTATTGCCAACAAGGACTGGAGCTTAGACAGAATTGAGGCAGAACTGCTGGCCACGAGTGTGTAGTGTATGAGATCAAAATAAAAAGTGGCACACACTCCGCCCTCTTGTGGCAACATAGCAGCGATCCAGGTGACAAACGTTCAGAACCTGAGTTAAGTATGAGGGGTGGAGATAGGGGAATCGAATCCTATATAATAAAGAGGAGATATGCAAATTGACCACCACTCCATCACAAAGATGGCTGCACCCACAGCTGAGGCCAAGTTCCCATAAGTAGCCTTAATGAGCAATCAGCAGGGACCTGAGGCTACTCCCTCCCCCACCCCCGTGGGGCTTGACAGGAGACCTCAATGTGCATTTCCAGTCCTGGGACCTGAGACCGCACCCTCCACCCCAGCACCAGGCCAGGGGACCTGAGGCTGCACCCCAGTGAGGCTTGACATAGGACCTCAGGCTGCACCCCCTACCCCAGCACAGGGCCAGGGCACCTGAGGCTGCACCCCCTGCCTGGTTGGGCTTGACAGGAGACCTCAGGCTATGCCCCCCACCCAGTGGGGCTTGAAGGGGGACCTCAAGGTGCACCTCCAGTGCTGGGTCAGGAGAACTTAGGCCATACCCCCACTTATCAGGGCTTGACAGGGGATCTCAGGCTGTGCCCCCCACTCGGTGGGGCTTGACAGGGGATCTCAGGCCATATCCCTCACTGGCAGGGCTTGATGGAGGACCTCAAGGCATGCCCTCTGCCCCAGTCTGGGCTGGGGGACCTCAGGCCACACACCCCATCCTGGCGCTGGGTCAGGGGACCCGAGGCTACAGCTCCTCCCAGCAGGGCTTGACAAGCGTGGGACTGGCCGGGTCTGGATCTAGCCCAATGTGTGTGTGTGTGGGGGGGGGGGGGGGAGGCAAGTCTGGTCTCACACGATTCTGAAGTGCATGTGGGTGGGTGGGAACTTGACTCTGGGTCCCCTGGGGAGCCCCAGACTCTGACAGGAGAAAGGTTTTCATATACATTTTACTAATTTTCTTTCATCTCTGACATTTCTATCATAGAGAAAGAGCAAATAGCAATATAAAATTATTTTCTCTAATTAATCCCCTTTTAATGTGCACAAATTTTGTGCACCGGGTCACTAGTATTGTGATAATTAGGAAGCAGAAGCTAAAGACCTTGGCTACTGATTAGCCGAGGGAAGGTTAGATGGCGTCAGGATAACACCCAGCTTTCTGACTGGGTGGTGGGGTGAGTCACAATGGACAGGTTTGAGGTAGAAAAAAATGCCATAAACGCAGGTTTGATGAAGAGGAGAATGAATTTCGCTTTGCACGTGTTGACTTTGAGATGCCCGTGGAGTGAGGTTTGTGGATGTGGATGTCAGCTCTGGGCTGAAGGGCCTTCATTTGAGAAGCGTGCGGGTTGGAGCAGAGGTGGTGGACGAGATCACCCAGTGAACTGTGCAGTGAGGGGCGGGGAGAGGCACAGGACACGTCTGCACAAGCTCCAACCCCAAGCCTCACGCCAGCCAAGATCTGGGGTCCATCGGGAGCACATAGCCACGCTAGGTATTCCCGGCGGGGGTTTACTATCGAGAATCTGCAGCAAAGGCAAGAAGTGCAAAAGGGAAACAGAGAGGGGCTGGGGGGCTGAACAAATGTTCAAATACTTGTCAGACGCCGCTGGGCCGGAGCTGGAACCGTGTCTGCACCTCTGTTGCCCGGGGGACACCCAGTCATAGTCGGCTCTGGATCTACCGAAGCGCTGTCATCGCCAGCAAGGCTGGCTCACCGAGAGGGTGCTTCCTCTGCCCAGCAGGCTCCAGTCCACACTCGCCTGTTCTTGCTGCTGCTGTCACTACCTGCTCCTGCCTCTGAGAGACAAAGCAGGAGCTTCCTGGCTTCTCCTGCCTGCCGAGCTCTCCAGTGGGAGCCAACTGGCCAGGAGGCTGGAAGCACATGCCCTGCAGACAGGGAGCAGCCCAGAGCACCTGCAGGGGGGCGCCAGGTGCCCTCGGGACCTGCTAACCAGGGCACAGAAATGAAAGAGCTTGTAAGAACCTGGCAGCAGCAGGAGCATTCCGGAATGAGAACAAGGAAGACTCTGATGAAGAGAAACAGGCGTCCCAGGGAGCAGGGCAAGGCCAGCATTGCCAAGAGCTTCTCAGAGGGCCTGGAAAGTGTCCTCCGTTGGAGTACGAGCTGGTCGATGAATTTAGGGAGAGCAATGTCACCGTGTGGTGGGAGCGCTCCAGATGGCAGTGGGCTGAGAAGTGGGAGGCGAGGCAGAAGCTGTCAGTGTAGAGCTGCAAGTTCGCTGGAGAAGAAAGGAGAAAGGCAGAAGGGGTGGGGGAAGACGCGGGGAGAAAGAACTAATGTGGCAATTAAGTAATCTTAGAAATTAATCCATGTGAACATGGCCCATCTATGTTTCTGAGACTTTCAAAGTTCCTATTCCCTTTAGAAAAGCAGATGACAGCAGTAACAGCCCCAAACAAAACCAAGCCCATGACCTCTGGGATGTGTGAGCAATGCTGGGCAGGGCGGCCGGGGGGGGGTGGTGTCAGGGTTGGGGCAGGGTTTGGAAACCACTGTATTCGAAACACAGAGCAGTTCCCAATGTCCAGCGTTTTTTGTTTTTTTTTTTAAGAAAAAACTCCCATCTCTTTTTTAAAATATATTTTATTGATTTTTTACAGAGAGGAAGGGAGAGATAGTTAGAAACATCGATGAGAGAGACTCATCAACCAGCTGCCTCTTGCATGGCCCCTACTGGGGATGTGCCCACAACCAAGGTACATGTCCTTGACCAGAATCCACAGGCTGACGCTCTATCCCCTGAGCCAAACCGGTTTTGGCCCAATATCCAGCTTTGACACCCAACTCTCCCTTCCTTTTCTCCCTGGCAAATCTGCTGAACAAGCCATGGCCACCATCTCTCCCCTCTCATACTTGCCATTTAATCCTGAAGCCTCCACAATGGAATTACCACGAGTAGTTTTGTGTTGCTGAGTCACGTGGACTCTTCCCAGTCCGCAACATTTGACACTGCTGGCCGGGCCTCCTGCCTACGCTTCTGACATCAGATGGCGCTCTCTCCTGTGCCCTGGCGTCCTCTGTCTCCTTCGTGCACTCCTCCCTTCCTGCCACCCTTACCCTTTATGTTGGTGTCCCAGGAGGTGTGTTCTCAACCGTCTCTTTGGCACTGTCCATGTCGGGGATGGCATTTACTCCCGCACTTCCCCGCACCACTAACAGAGCTGACCAACCTGCCCCTTTGGTCAGCTCTGCTGACTCACACCCCTTGTCCCCAGCTGCCTGTGCGGCTCCATTTGGATGTCGACAACAGCAATTCTCAGACCATATTCCCCACAAAAGTCTCCCTTAAGAAATTTTAAAACGTATTTCAACACCAAACACATTTACATAATAATTATGCAATCATTTATTGCATTTAATAAGGCTCTTTTGGTTAGAAGCAATAAAAACCAATTCTGGCTAACTTAATTTTTTAAAAATATATTTTATTGATTTTTTACAGAGAGGAAGGAAGAGAGCTAGAGAGCTAGAAACGTCGATGAGAGAGAAACATCGACCAGCTGCCTCTTGCACACCCGCCACTGGGGATGTGCCTGCAACCAAGGTACATGCCCTTGACTGGAATCGAACCTGGTACCTTTCAGTCCGCAGACCGATGCTCTACCACTGAGCCAAACCAGTTTCGGCCTAACTTAAATTTTTTTAAATATGTTTTTATTGATCTCAAAGAGGAAGGGAGGGAGAGCTAGAAACATCAACGATGAGAGAGAATCATTGATTGGCTGCCTCTTGCACACCCCACGCTAGGGGCTGAGCCTGCAACCCAGGCATGTGCACTGACCAGAATCCTACCATGACCTCCTGGTTCACAAGTTGATGCTCAACCACTGAGCCATGCTGGCCAGGCCTAACTTAATTTTTTTTAAATAAGAGAATTGTATATTTTATATATTTTTAAATTTTGTTTTAATTGATTTTTTAGAGAGAAAGGGAGAGGGATAGTTAGAAACATCAATGATGAGAATCATTGATTGGCTGTAGTCCGCAGGCCGATGTTCTATCCACTGAACCAAACTAGCTAGGGCCTAACTTAGATTAAATTTATAAGTGGCAATTTATTAGAAGGACATTGAGTGAGCTCAGGA